AGGGCTTCGGTCATTTACTCCAAATATACTGACTGATACTGACTGAACACCTTTCCTAGGCCCTCTTATGCGCTATCCTCGATGTCGGGAGTCATATGAATGGTTCCCCGCTGCAGACTGGGCTTGAATGTCTGAAGCTGTTTGCGCAACGCAAGGCAAGTTTTCTTTTTCTTTGAAGTTTCGATTGCCTCGGATAGTTTTTCTCTCAGTCTAAAGAACAGTTTTCCCTCGTTCTCGCGGGCACGGAAGCCACAGCCAATGCACTGGCCGACGAGGATGGGAATTTTGCCAACATTTCTCTTGTTCGTGAACTTGCTCCTTTTGACTGGGACATACTAGAGTTACTAAATAGTGACATTGAAGCCACTACATGCAACGGAGACTGTAAGTCCATGCCTTCGGCTAATCTCACCTCATTAGTGATTGATGCCATCTTTGTTGGAGTTGATCATCTCATGAAGAAGGCTAAGTAAGTCCACGAAGTTTTTAAACACATTTGTCCAGAACGTGTAAAGGCAAACCGGAGAAACATCTTCTGGTGGTGAGCAATCTGGAGGGTGAAACTGACATCAGCCAGATGGACGAAGTCATAGCTAGTTTGCAGAAAGCTGAAGTTCTCCTCAACCTCATAGGCCTCCGCATTACTCCCGGAGGCGATAGTGACGGCCATGCCGAGAATTCTGCCGGTCCATCTACAGGAAACTCAGCTCCAACAAACTCTGATGGCAAATCATTCGTCGGGGCGATGCTACAACGTGTTCAGGCGTTTGGCCAAATTTTAGATGCCTTGGAGGGCGAAAGCTTCGACTTCACGTGCGTGACCCTTATCGCGATTACTCTTTTTATGCGCGGGCAGGAATGAATTAAGAGGCGGAAAAAATTATTTAGATGACGTTGTACTATTGATTATAATGCCACATAATACTGCGATTTCCGCTTTTTAATGTAAAGATCACAGTCGCTTAAGCAAGTTTGCTTCATCATTTTCAATACCTATAAAAATCAAAGTTTCCTTCATAGAAGGCGTACACGAAAAACATTTTTTTCGTAAACCCACTTTGCACTGAAAATGGCTCGAAGACAGCAAATCTCTCATAGTCGAGAATTTTGGATTTACGAGAATTTTCAGTACGGTAAAATGGTTCTTGGAGTAACGTATAATTATCTGTTTATTAATGCTGCTTATGCAGAATGAAACATGATTCCTATTTATAACATAATTTTATGAACGCTATATGGTACTTGACTGAGAAAATAGGAGAATTTCTGATTTTTCTTAAATAGACATACGTAAATTTTACTTTCGAAAAACCGTTTTGTCTGATAGCTAATTATGACTTGTTTCCTAGCATTTGCGATTAGAACTGTAACATTGCTCGCACTTTCAACTGGAATGGATTTATTTACTGGATCTGTAATATTCGTGATCTTGCGACACAATACCGTGATATTTCAGGACGTTAGGGTGTTGGCCCTTGAATACACATATTTCAAGTCTCTAAAAAAGCTACACTCGGTAAAAATGAAGACTTAAGTAGTGGACTTTATATCTTTATTTTCAGTGCCTCTATAAACCCATATATTTTATAGAAAAAATACACAGAAATATTCCTTCTTTTAATAATTTTAAGAGAAATGACATCATCAACATCATAATCG